GCTTGGCCACTCGCTCCCCGGTCCGCTTCTCGTCCTCCTCCGTCCGCTTACCGTAGTCGAAGCGACGGACCATGCCGCTGCCTGAACAGGAGGGGTCGAGGAGAATGACGTCTAAGTCGGAGTACTCCTCGCCCTCCAGCTGACTAAAGTCGGCGTTGGTCACCTTCTCCGCGGTGGCGCCAAACTTGTGGAGAAAGTAGCGAATCTGCTTGAAGCGCGTCTTGTCGAGGTCATTCGCGTAGAGGGTGCAGTTGTTGTTCAGGCGAGAGGCAATGGCGATCGACTTCATGCCCGGGGCGGCACAGGCGTCGAGGATCCTCATGCCCGGCTTAAGGGACATGCCCTCTAGGGCGAGCATGCTGGACTGTAGAAAATGACCAAATCACAGTTATCAAAATAGAACCGCAAAACAAACTCTCAAATCTCTTACCTTGTCCTGAACTGCGTACAGGCACTCCTTGTAGAGGGGCAACTCTGTCAGCTGCTTTGAGGCGCTGTTTTTGAAGAGTAGCATGTCGTCAAAGTGATAGTCAGCCATAAACTCGGTCTCCTCCATTTCGCGTGCCAGCTTCATGAACTCCTCAAAGGAAGTCTTTGCTTTGTTGTATCTCTTCTGTGTAAAATTTTCCCCCTCCAGCTTTTTGATCAGCGCAGCCTTGTTGGTTTTCAGCAGATTGACGCGAATGTAACGAACTGGAAGCTCGACGATACTGGTTTTAGATGAGGATTCGTCTTTGACTGAAAAAAGAGTTGTCAGTATACAAATTCATCACAAATAGTAAAGTAAATCCTACTTTGATCGTAAAAATCCCTAATCTCCTCTTCGTGTTCCAGCACAAACTTTGTTTCAGGCGAAGGACGATAGTTGACGAAACGTTTCTTTCCGATGATCATATCAGTGATGAGGACTTCGATGAAGAGTTCGTCAAATTCAGCTCCTTCTGGTTGAGGAAACTTTGCAGCGATTTGCTTGATTACTTGTTGATTTTTAATCACATTGATCGCCAAAGCATAGACTTGCTTGATATTCTGTAGAAAATGCAATGAGTGTCAGTTGATAGGGTTAATAAATAGAAAGTGCTTACCTTTTGGTCTTTCACTGTACTAATCAAACTGTTGATTGAGCCCTTTTTGAGGCTCATCTTTCGAAGAATGGTGACAGCATCAAAATAAGCAGGTGAGAGCTTAGATTTTTTAAACTTGGACGGATCTTCACCACCGGTCTCTGTTCTAAAGAACTTTTTGGTGATATCACCAACAAACTTTTTAGGCTTTTTAGTTGAGAAACGATTCTTCTTTGTTGGGTCAAACTTTCCCTTTCCCTTGATGAACCTTTTCTTTTTAGGGTCAAACTTCTTTGGGCTTTTCTTGGTTGGATCGCCATTGCCAACCTTTTTGTTCTCTGGATTTCTTGCTGGAGGCACATATACCAGAGAAGGATCTCTGTTGGAAGGCTCTTTTTTTATAATAAGCCCCTTTGTGGGTGACATTGTTTCGGTTTTCATTGATTAGCGGAGATGAGGGATACACAGAATAAATCGCGCTAAAAACACTAAAAACTTGGCAAAATAAAACGTCGTCTGAGAGAGCACGTGTGGTGGCACGTGACTTTGCCTTCTCGTAAACAGTGTGATAAAAGGTGAAAACAACTGCGTTGGGAAAATCAAATGTTTACTGGTTCCAGATTCAGAGAAGAGCCAACCTAATCATGTCCTTATCACATCTGCCCGGCCTGGTGCTTTCTAGACGTCTGGAGTTTATCCTCAAAAAATGCGGAGGGCTAAACTCCCTGCGAGTATCACCGCTTCGAAGTCAATCAACCGAAGCAAGGACTTCTCGGAGCCTGGAGACGGCAGCATCGGGCACACTAGCATTTCGCAACTGGACCAAGGTGTATCCATTTTTACCGGCACAATCTACATTGATGCCGAGCTCACTGCTTGAACATGATCGGGCCCAAATTCAGAAGCATCAGCAAAGTTTAATTGCCATGGATGAAGACCGACAAGTCTTCATGGAACAGTACCTCACGCATGAACTGCTGCTGGACAAGGAAAGGGTGCAGAGTATTCTCTTTCTATGTCAAAATGCAATAAATGAAAACTACCCGAGCAATGAGGACATCATACAGCTTTGCAACTTTCTTAAGCTGTTTTTCACCGCCGACGACATCTACTACAATCCGAAGCCATTTATGATTCCATTCAACGTTCTCTATAACAGGTAATTTTATTAGGAACTGGTTATCTTTTGCTGACATTAATCTGTGATTTTGTAGGGTGTTAATGTTGAAAGAACTAGGCTTCAGGACGTTCAGCACTTCGATGATTGAGTCCACTCTAGATTACCTTCAAATGACCCCCACAGAATTGAGTCGATTCTTCGATTACATGGGGCAGCACAACTGCTTCGACTCGTTGTGTAAAACACTGGAAATTGTTAGTGATGATAAGTAAGTCAATGATAACATTTGAAAACGATCGTTTTACTAAAACATTATTGTGTAGAAAATCTCTGGTCAAGTTTATTCTGCAAAACTATGGTGAAATTGGCGATGTTTCAATATCAGATCTGCGAACGCTCTGTGTGGCCAAGTACCTGTCATCGTTGCTAAAAATCAGTTTTACCCGTGTTGAAAAGGCTTGCTCAAGGACTACGAAAAATCTTTCCGAGTTAAGTCTGAACACTATCAAATTAAATGTCAACTACTTAGTTCAGGACTTTCATTACTCTTCCCACAAAATAATTCACAATGGCCTGTTTGCCTGTTTAAATCCGGACAATCTACAGAAGATAGCCACCAAGCTGAAACCAATCGTGGGAGACAATACTTACGAAAATTTTATAGAATCCCCGGTCATTCTGAAAACAGATTACGAACAAATTGTCGACAACTTTAGCCTCATCAAAAGGTATGCTTGATGGAAGTTTGTGGGATTAAAATTACAAACTCTTTGTTTTGTTTTCACAGTAAATGCAATGGAAAGTTTTTCACCCGTGCAATGGAATTGCTTTTAATTGAGCCCTCTCGACTAAGGACAATTTTTGATGAAATCGATTCTAATGAAGACCTAAAACTAACCAATCTTCTTTCTTTTGGCTACGATGACTTGGCAATGAATCACTCGAAGATTATTGAGCGAATCGAAAGGATCAAGCAAGAGGAGATTCCTTTGCGCTATGTGCCGCTTTCCTTCTACCACTGCAGTGACTCGGACTTTGAGGAGTTTGTTAACGACATCGTCACTGATCCAGAGATGCGAATTCGCATTTACATCGAAGAAGTGCTCGCCTTGGACTACGAAAATGTTAAGCATAGGTGAGTTGTTTGCGTTCTAAAAGTTTTCAATCATCTAAACTAATCTAATTTCTTGATAGACTTCGAGTAATACCAGCCATGAACGCCAAGAGGTACTCAAAGCAGAACTCCAAGCGCATCATAGAGTTCCTCATCTCGATGAATATTCCTAAAGACCAGATTGTCGACTCGCTGTATCTGCTTCTCTTTGACTACAAACTGGTCAAGTCGGCCTACTTCAACGCCTGCTCCCGCTACGACAAGACACTGCACCAGGACCCGAACTTCTTCAAGCACATGTTTGACTTTGTCCTCTACACGCAGAACAAGTCAATCGGAAACTAACTAATCAAGCTCTAATGTGATAATCACCGTACCAATTCTAGTGCCTTAAATTTACCTGCTGTACATATGTTTATTACCGGTTGACCAGTTTAGTATTTGTTAGATCGTAAAGGAAAACTTTTTTTATAAAGAAAACTTTTGACTTTTACGAAAACTGAAAGTTTAAGTGCATTGGAAATTCAAGCTGCTTTTTCCATCTTACAGGGGAATTTTGTAATGAGCAAAACTAGATAGGCATTCTCTGCATGAGGTCGAGCTAGGAAGAAGAAGAAGTAGGGGGCTTGATGCTAATGAAGACGAGTTCAGCAAAGACAATGGAGAGCAAAAGACAGCAGAATGAAATGAAGAGTTGATTAGACGAGATGAACACGGGAGAGTGTCGGACGCTGCACGCACACCTCTTGTTCACTCTCTCCATCTCAATTAGTCGCCTGACTTTTTTGCAAGTGGCAATTAGAAATTGACGAGACAAATTGACGAAGCGCAAACCTGTGACCGATTTGATTCGATGTGCTCTCCGCCGATGCGATGACGCGTGAGAAATGAGATGATGAAGCCCACTGAGCGCAGAACACTCGATGAATGAATGATGAAATGGTGAAATGGAATGAGCAAAAGATGGTGAATGGCTGAAGAAAACTGGGCGAGCCTAATTGGCTGCAAGGAGTTGATGAAGCAACGGTTGCACTCATGACAAAAAGAAGTTCGACTGCTACACTTGCTCTGGCAGAAGATTGACAGAAGTTGATTAGAAAAAAGCAGTGGGGAAATGAAATGTTAGCGCTGATGATTACTTTGAAGCTGCTGTGCGTACTAAATCTGGGTGATGTGCAAGTGTATTTATTTTTAAAAACAAAAACGGAAGCTCACATTTGAATTACAGTAGTCGTCAGGCCTTTTTCTTCCTCCTCCTCGCTGGTTCTTCAACTCTTAGAGGTGGAACTCGTAGTCAGGTTGGTGTGGCTCGCCGAAGTAGTGCTATTGCTGCTATTGTTGCTCTTCGTCCCAGGGAAGCCGGAGGTAAAGTAATCAGAGCAGCAAAGGAGAACCATGGTGACGAGAAGTAGTGAAGTGTAGCCAAAGAGAATGGCTATTCGAGAGTGCCACTTAAGCAGGTAGAAGCACATGACGCCCAGGGGGCCCGAGTCGCAGATCTTTCGCCAGCATGGTTTTGGAGGTTGCTTTGCCTCAGCCGATGCATTACCTCCTCCTCCCTTTACCGATAAGCCACCCTTGGGGGTGGCCTGCTCGCTGGCTCCTGCTGCAGAGTGTCCTGTAGCCGTCGCTGTGGTGTTTTTTGCAGAGGCCATTTACCGGTAGTGCTTGAAAGTGGTGGTAGTGGTGATTTACGTGTTCAAGTGCAGCTCAAAGTGACAAACGCTTGTCCTTTTGCTCAAAAAGTTTAAAATTCGAAATTGAGATTCTAAAATCTGTGTCATTTAGCATCAGTTTTATTTTTCCCCGTTTGGTAAAAACAGCACTGTGCCTAATTCTAAAAAACAAACCAAATCCGCNGTGATTTACGTGTTCAAGTGCAGCTCAAAGTGACAAACGCTTGTCCTTTTGCTCAAAAAGTTTAAAATTCGAAATTGAGATTCTAAAATCTGTGTAATTTAGCATCCGTTTTATTTTTCCCCGTTTGGTAAAAACAGCACTGTGCCTAATTCTAAAAAACAAACCAAATCCGCCCAATCCACTGGAGCCTGGAGCGTTGAAAATGGCTCAAGTGGCACGATTCGTGAGTGCCGCTGGCAGTCATCAACATTTTGTACACTAATTAATTTGACTGCAATTACAAATTACAAATTACACTGTCTGACTGAGCGTGTGTTTGTGTACTGCTNGGAGCGTTGAAAATGGCTCAAGTGGCACGATTCGTGAGTGCCGCTGGCAGCCATCACCATTTTGTACACTAATTAATTTGACTGCAATTACAAATTACAAATTACACTGTCTGACTGAGCGTGTGTTTGTGTACTGCTATGGCACACACAGACACACAATAGATCGTAATGTGATTAGGGAGAAAAAGAGAAATGTCGTGAATGGAAATTGATATATGCAGCCTCAACTGAACAGAGGCGCTATCAGGGGAAGACTGCAGCGAGAGAAGTAGGCGGGGCGGGTGGTACAAGACGGCGACCAATTGACACGCAAGTGCGCACCGATTCAATGGTATAAATAGTAATGCAGGCGACTTAATTAGCGACACGACTTGCTCCATCCATCCACTGCTCAGTGGCTTGACCAGTGCTCAGACCTTCTTCTCTTCACTTCACTTCAGTGTGCCTGAGAAAGAGTATAACAATGACTCTGCA